GGGGGGGGGGGATCCGTGAGATCTTATAGCAAACTAAATCGTTCATTCTCTCCCCTCTTCTTTTTTTAGATGAAAGGCATAAAGCCCGACTTCAAATTAATGAAGCCATCAACCGGCTAGGATACATGGTGCTGATTATTACAAGGCAAAGCTTGGAGAAAAACTGAAAGATTACAAGTGAGATCATACTTCGACAGACCAAAGTGCAAACTTGCCAGTACAAAGCAAACAAGACCAAGCTGCCGGAGGTACATCGCAGACCAGAACAATGAGTACAGAGACATCCACGGGGCACCGAGCAAGCAGTGTAGAGGAGGATCGTGCCTGCAGGGAGGAAAACATTGGATGTGCCACAACCCGGGCGTGCAAATGCTAGAGAGGAGAACCAATCTCCTCTACATCCAAGCCGTGCCACAACACGGGAATGCTGTAAACCGGCCAGCGGAGCACGAGCACTGCAGGGCAGCAACCACTGAAGGATAGCAGGGCACAACACCTCATCTCCACCACCGCCGGAAACCCGAGCAAGCACTACACCGCAGCCGCCACCAACCAAGAACTGCAGGCACCCAACCCAACCCAACCCCTACCCCTACCCCTAGCCGACGCCTCCAAGGAGGACCACGACGATGGAGCGTCGTCGACGGCCGGCCAAAGCCTAGATTTTCACCTGGGGGAAACAGGGGAGGGGGAGGTGGAGGAAGGGAAACTCAACGCGCCCTCAGGAGGGGATTCGGAGCCGATGCACCGCCGTCGTCGAGGTCGATGCGGAATCGACCAGGGGATTCCCCCGTTCCAAGCTTCCTCCACCGCACCTGAGGTGCCAGATCTTGCAGCACAGACGCGATGAATCCAGACCGGTGAGGGGATGCAGAGCAGACGAAGGGGCCAGAGATCCGATCTGGCGGAGCCACCGGAGCAGCCCGCGACAACGAGGCACCTCCGCCGTCCAACCGCCGCCCGCACGGCCAGAGGGACGGCCAGCACCCGCAGCGCCCTCCACCGGAGAGAGCGGCGCCGCCCACCAGATCCAGGGCCGCCGCCCCGGCAACCAGAGCTCCCTGCGCGGATGCAGGGCAGCAGGGCCTCGCCACCACCTTTACGGGGGCCGCACGGCGGCCGGCGGCGCCCTCAGGTGGCAGCGGGGAAGGGGAGGCGAAGGAGAGAGAGGGCTCGGGAGGCTAGGGTTTGGTCGCCCCCGAGTCGCTCACTCGGGGCGACGCGAGAACCTCTCTCCCCTCTTCTATATCAAATGAAGCGTTTGACTTGCCTCGTCCCCTAAAAAAATACGGACAACCAAGATCTACCTATCTGGTGATCTCTATTGCAATACCCACAAGCTTATGATGTGTCCTGATCTCACACCAACGCACACCATCTAATGCAGCGGACTCATCAAGCTATCTAAGGACAAGCCCATAGCACCAACCGATATAGCTAACCTGTATCGTGCACCACATGTGCATGCTCTAGAATCCACGGCCACCACCTTCCGCTGTCAATGCATTGACCTTGCCAGGCCCTTCTGCAGTCAGACACCACCATGACACCACACAACAACACCATCCCGCGCGCACTCTGAAGCCGCGTTCATCGCCGAGCCCCACTACGCCAAGACCATTGTTCTGGTAGATGGAACACTGTTCCACCTCAGGGCCACTCCAGCCAACACCGATGCCCCTAGAAGGGAGAACGACATCGAAGACATCGACATCGTCTTATTCGGGGACCCAAATCTTTATGACGAGACAACAACGATGATGCCTCGACAAGAAAACGATGTCAAAGATTTTTTTTATAAAGGGAATATATTAATAGCGCACAGATACCAATTACACCCAGCCTCTACACTGACAAGATGTCTAAAGACATCCATGATGCACACATCCAGAAAAGAAAATAAAAATTAAAAAAGACCCCGTCACGGTGATTAATCACCGCAGCAGCAACAACACTCTAACCACCATCAAAGACAACGCTCAGTCTAAAAAGGAGGTTGTCCAAAAGCAACGGATTCAAGAAGGAAACAATACACACGCGTTGTCATTGCCCGATCGAAGATCTTAGGTTTTCACCATGGAGAAAGACCACGTTCCCAAAACAATGCCTTCAATAAGGTCATTGCTAGATACAACCAATAAAGGCCAGGCCTTAGGTTTTCACCATGAAAATCATGATTCGTGGTATTCGAGGAGCACCATCATCAAAGAAGTCAACCAGCGTTGCTGCCCCCACTTACGGAGTCCGCTACTGCAAGTCACATACCACCAGGCTTACATGAGCTCGTGTCCAGTCTTGACGGGAAAAACCCAGATCTTCGTGATATAGCCAAAGAAGTCGGTTAGGCTGATGTTCCGGGCACACATGACCGGCCCCTCTCCAATCAAGGTGTCCAAGGAGCGCCATATGCGTCAGTCCTTGTTTTCCTCTGAAGGAGAATTCCGAAACTTGTCGATGGCCATATCGTGGATGACCGACCACAGGTAGACCGGTGACATCGCACGAAGACCATGGACGATGACCGATTACTGTCCGCAGACGTTTGAGGGGCTGGATCATGTGTATGCGCCCGTAGATGCTCTAATATGATCCATATAAAATAATATTAATAATAAAAAAGAGCAGAGCAGAGTAGAGCACGTGATGCAGATGCAGATGTAGATGTAGATGTAGATGTAGCCCCCGATGCCTTCCGTTGGTTGACTTATTACTGCTCATCGAGGACATCTTGCTTCCACCCCCCGCTTTCCACGTCCTTTCATAGCAGTTTGGATCTCTCTCAGTAGCATGACAGGATGAAGAGATCTGTATGGTGTGAGCCCGGATCAAGCAACCATACTAGCTACTAGTATATATGCGGCATCGTCTTACGTTGAATCGAATTCGCAGGTGAGTTTTCTTGAGTCCGTCCGGTGGTTCTTGTACGTAGTATTAGTTAAGCAACCTCTGCTAGTAATTGAGTAGCTAATCCATGAGTCCCGCTCCCACGTAGATCTCTCGTTTTCTTACCGATGTTTGCGAAATTGTCAGGGCGACCCGGGTAGCAGAAGCTGTTGCAGTTTGGTTGGTTGGTGGCTTGGTGTTTTTTTGATCGATTTGCAGCCGATCTATCGAGCACAGCACAAAATTATCAGGTGACACTTGTTGTAATCTTTATCCTCTGCTAATATGTAGTACTGTACTTTTTTTCATGGAAATATGTAGTACTGTATTTTTGTTCTTACATAGTATCTCACATAGTATCTCCTTTTTTTGTTCTTAGCATACCATACCATACCAGTAGCAGCATGGTCACAAATGCTGTTAGCGTCTCGTTGATAGGGTGGTTCGTCACGCCGTTCCTCAGCAAGTCCATCAAGGCGGTACGCAAATACATAGACGAGGAGAACAAATCGCTCAAGAATGTCACTCCCAAGCTGAAGGAGCTGGCCGATCATCTTGATGGCATCAGGGTGATTGTTGACCAAGTCGGGCTATGTTTCATCAAGGGGACAGAGGAGGCCTTGGATCATCTGTGGCGGCTCAAGCGTGCCATTTATGAAGCGGAGGAGATTCTGGACCTGTACGAGAGTCTAAAGAACAATCGTCTTTCTTGTGAGTTTGTGCAGCAATTTACTGGGACCAAAGACTCACCTAGTCGGCTGGAGGAAGTGGTGGAGAAGCTAGGCGGACTTGGCGTGAGGACGCGGAAGTTGCTAAAGAATTCAGACAGCAATCCCAACATTGTTCATGGTTCTCCCATCCTCCGTAGAGGCCCGTCACAAGCAAATCCCGGGAATGGTTTCTTCGGGTACGCCGACGAGCGTCACCAGCTACAGAATCTGCTGAAAGGCGAGCAGAATAAGGTTATAGCCATCATAGGCCATGGAGGGATGGGGAAGACTCACCTTGCTCGCCAGGTATTTGATGCTAATGAGCGTGGGTTTGAGGTGCGCATATGGGCGCACGTCTGCAACAAATTGGATCAAATTGAGCTTCTGACAGAGATATGCCAGTCGCCCATCAACAAGTCTGGCGCCCCAATCCGTGCTCCAATAATGGACACCGTTGCTGCGCTAGAGTCCGTGGTTAAAGGTCTGTCCAAAACCTCAGGGTTGATCAAACTACCAAAACCTTGTTTGGTCGTGCTTGATGATGTATGGCAGCACGAGGACGGATTTGCTGGGTCGACCAGCTGCCACACGCAGCGGATCAGCCGGACTCAGAGAAATGAGGCATGGGCCAGTGTGCTGGCCATGCTGAGGAGCCTTAAAAGTTGCAAAGTTGTAATGACCACTCGAGACAAGGTTTGCTCCACAACACTCAAGGCAGATGAAACAATCGTCCTGGATGGGATCAGCCAAGACCCAATGAAAGAGCTGCTCAAACACACTGCAAAATCTGACCAACCTCCCCAAGAGCTTGTGCAACGGATTGACAAGTTGAAGGGATCCCCACGAGCAGCTCTCAGTCTTGTTCACGAGCTCAAGGAAGCAAATATTAAGATTCAGGAGCAAATCATCCTAGGTGAACTCGACGACAAGAATCACATCAAAGGCCTGTATGAAGAACATCTATTCACCTACCATAACCTACCACTGCACTTACAGAGCTGCCTGGCATTCTGCAGCGTGTTCCCATATAATTGGAAGTTCCATCCTGAAAAGTTAACCAAGATGTGGATAGCTCACGGTTTCATTGACGACACGCAAGTGAAACAACACATGCTGGCTGACCAGAAGCTGCTGGCCATGGAGAGTGTGGCGAAAGGCTATTTTAAGGATCTCGTGGATCGGTCCTTATTCAAGATTGACACGGATGGCCTCTATGTGATCCATGTGCACATCCATTCCATGATACGCCAGGTGTCTGGCGATGACTGTAGGAGCATTAGCAACGGCTCATCATCGGAAATAATCGTCCCTGCAACAGTTCGCCACTTATCTGTGACTGCCGGCTGCCTAGCGAAGCTCAAACCAGGGCCTCCATTGGTGGAGAGCAATGTGAAACCTGAGGACGAATTCAGACCGGTGCGAACACTGATTGTCTTCACGGACAAGGGAGCTCCTTCCTTGCCTTGGAGTGACATTCGTCAGGCAAACAGCACACTCAGAAAGTTCAAGCACGTCAAGGTACTGGATTTGACGGATACAGCCATAACTCAGGTGCCTGATATTGCCGGTGAGCTCACACATCTGCGGTACCTAGGTGTTCCTAACACCCTGAACCACCCTCCTGCTCAAATTCCCAAGCTACTTCTGTTGTACATCAACCATGAAGCAACCAAGACGGCACCCCTGATGCAGTCTGCGCCCCCGCACAATCCTGGTGGCGGCGGCGCCCGCAAGGCGCCCCCGCACAATCCTGGTGGCGCCGGCGCCGGTAAGGCGTCCCCGCACAATCCTGGTGGCGCCGGCGCTGGTAAGGTGCCCCCGCACAATCCTGGTGGCGGCGGCATCGGCATCGGCAAGGCGCCCCCGCACAATCCTGGTGGCGGCGGCGCCGGCAAGGCGCCCCCGCACAATCCTGGTGGCGGCGGCGCCGGCAAGGCGCCCCCGCACAATCCTGGTGGCGTCAGCGCTG